TTTTAAATTGGATAGATGGCTCCGTTCCATTGGTGGGGAGCTGCACCTGCTGGAAACCGGGTCCAGCGTCCCTTTACATCATCGATAGATACCAGAATTGAGACTGAACAGTGGGCACAACGACCCTTCAGATCTGGGAATGCTGGGGACTGTTATGCCTCTTCACCCTATTCAGGCGCCAGATATGCCATTACACCTAGCAATGTTAACACTCCCCATCTGCTTACCTTGAGCTGGGACTGGGATCCATAGATAAAATCTAGGCTGAGACACAGATTATCACTCAAAAACATAGCTGGGAACTAAGGCCTGCTTGGGTGGAGGAAAAGGATCAGGAAACTCAGAAAGGGGGATGAGGGGAATGGAGGGATCTATGTTACTCCAGTCATTAAAGTGTAAGTGGTAATTTCTTGGGAGCTCACCTTGAGGTATCTCACATACGCCATTCCATTTGACCTGCCCAATTTTACCACGTTGTTCCCCTCCAAGCCAGTTTAGATTGAACGTTTGGATATGTTGTTTGATTTCCTTTTCAATTGTCAAGGTTTTTCTTACCCCCCATGATCACCCATGCATCATCTTGTTCTAGCTTTTCCAATATCCTGCTCAGTCAATCCCCTGGAATCCAGGGTAATCAATGCTGGCAGGATCCCTCTACATTGTTTCTCTAATGTTTTCTGATTGCAGTCTGTATATGGGACGCTGAACCCGTTTTCCAGCAGGTGACGCTCCCCACCAATAAATGGAGCCTCTCCCCAGGTGGTAGTGGTGTCTGCTCTTATCTATCACCGGTGGAAGTGTGTTAAAAAAAAATAAAAAAATCTGTAGTTGGATTTGTTGCTTGATGGAATCTCTGAACTCAGGCCCATCTAGACGGGCATCTTCCATTTCAAATGTGCACCTACGAGACCATATGACCCAGATAAGAGTTCTTCTCCCGATCGTGAATAGGTTCGTTGTGAAGCTGTCTTCACATGCAGGCGCCCATGCTTCCAGGAGGAGGGCTTTCCACTTCCATGGCCATGGTAGGGAGGTTTCAATCTGATTCCAAATTCTATCCCACCAACGCCATAACCAAAGTCTGTGTCCACAGGCCCCAAACTCCTGACAGAGACCCCGCAAACCCACCCACCTCCTCGTGATTCAAAGCGGATAGCACCTCCCTACACTCTTCATACAAAACACCAACTCCCACCTCGATGCTGTTTTCACTAACCAGGGGATTACCCCACCTCCAGTTACCGCTAAACCAAACAACTTTTGCCTCATGAAAGTTAGTTTTTGATTTCTTAAAAATTGAAAACAAAGGGGCTCGTTTGACACTCCTTGGGGCGTCCTCGGGGCCGAAGGAAGTTTCCTTGGGTTTTTTCAAGGAAATTCCCGCCACCGTTCCACTTGTCCTCGGGGACGTCGCCCGAACATTTCCTTCGAACGATGTCAGACAAGAAAAAAGAAAAGAAAAAAAAATCAAATGTGTTTGAGTCCTTCAGCCAATAGGGTGCCGCCACGATCCAGATTCTCGGTTGTAACGTCTCTCTACCCATGTGCCCGGTCCTCTCCGTGCAACGCGGATTCTTGTTGTTCAAGGAAGAAATGGTTGGGGAATCCTCGACGCACAGGGAATTTCCTTCGGAGCGTTTTCACTTTTTCTTTTCCGACTGCATCCCCGAGGATAGGTGGAATGAATAATTCCTCTGGGACTTCACGCGCCCGAGGAGTGTCGAACGAGCCCCAAAGTCAAAATAGAAATAAAAAAAATCGCATCGTAGAGCTCAAGGAGGTCTACAACCTAGGCAACCTGAGTGGCCGGAGACCACTTGCCCGACCGGGCCACAAAACATATAAAAACTAGAAATTGAAAAGAAATGTTTTTTTTTTTTTTGGTAAATAATTTTGATGTGACCCTGAGGCAAACGTTGTTCAGTTTATTTTTCTGCATAGGATATTTGTTTTCAGTTTTTTTTTTTTTTTTTTTTTTTTTTTTGCTTGGACCTACTATGGTCCTTACACGGCCGGGCAGCCCAGGCAAACAAGGTGACCCGGGCGGCCCCGATGGTAGCTTAGTCTACAACACCATTTTCTTATTTTTACTTTTTTAACATGTTCTGCCCCCCAAAAAAATCCTAAAAGTAGCTGGCCGCGGCCAGCTTCCTGTCACTGCCGCCCTAGCCACTGGTCTAAACAAGGCTCCTGGAGGGAGATCCAACTACTGATGTATGTGGATTAGTGTTTAAACCACCAGTACTTGGCCCAGCTATCGGCCGCGGAAACAAATAGAGTAGAAACGTTTCTAGTCTGATGAATTTTGGCGCTCCTTTAGTAGCCCCATCCATTTCCTAAGATCGTGGCGCGTTAACGGGCACGACTCTAGGAAGTACTGCAGTGGTTTAAGGTGTGTGACTGTCAGGCATCGTGGATTTGGCAGGAAATCAGCGGTAAGCTGTTTTTGTGAATTAAACCCAGGAAAATGATGTAACAGTTTTCTTTTGCTCTCAAATTGATAGGTTTTTCTTTTGCTTTTGTTGTTGGGGTCCTGTGGCTGTCCCAAACGTGCATGAGATCAGAACCAAGTTTTTTTGTCGATAAATCACACAAGTTCCACTCACGGCGAAGGCAAAGACGAATGGCTTCATCGATGAAAATTGATTGTGGTTTGGGAGGTGTTCGGGAGGATTTGATCCCCTCACCTACAACAAATGGTGTATGGAGTTACTCTTGCCCTCCTTTGCGAGAGAGAATTTATGCCAAAACAACCAAGCAGTGTGCACTGCGGCCTATTTCAAGGAAGCCTCTGACTATTGTCAATGAATATGGTCCGTGTGCCCACTCACATGCAGTCGTCTTGACTGCCACAGCCATGGTCAGTGAATTATACCCTCACATCTGACGCCTTGCCTGGAGCAGACACCATCTGTGAGAAGAGCAATTTCTTTTCTGTTTTAGCAGTACTTTTCTTCATTTCTTTGATCATGAAATGTTTTTTTTGCATTTATTTTCCCTATTTCCTGCGACCACCCACCTGACCGTGTCCCCCACCCATCCCACACCCGTCACACAAATCCACATATATGTCATGACCAGGGGTGATTCATAGATCTGAGCACCAACCCCAAGTTCTTATTAAAATACGTCAAAAAAATAGGAACAGAAAAAGAATAATTAAAAAACAAGAAAAAGCTTGCTCCAAGGACAACGTGCCTATGTGTATGTGTTTGTGTGGGTATGTATATACAATGAATTAGATTCCAATCGACATATAGAGTGGATATAGGGGCTCGTTAGACACTCCTCGGGGACGCAAAATCCCCAAGCAATTGTTCTTTCCACCGATCCTCAGGGATGCAATCGGGAAAAAAAAGGTGCAACTCCCATAAGGAAATTCCTCGGGCAATAGGACTTTGGGCCTCGTTAGACCCTCCTTGAAAAAGCCTCAGGAATTAGGACGAAGTCCTTGGAAAATTTCAAGGAATTCGGCGGCGTCGTTACACCGCGTCCTAAATGAAAGGGTCCCAAGGAAAAACCTTGAAGGTATCCCGCGGCCAATTTCATACACATATGCGAGGCCGCGGGAGAGGATGTTCGTCGTCGTCGAGGGATGTCCGTCCGTTGTCGGGCGTGGTCCACTGGCGGCGCAAGGAGGCCCGCGATGCTGCGCTGTGAAAAGAGGCGCGAAGGTTCCTTTTCGAAATTCGAATTTCAAACTGTCAAACGAGGTAAAGACGCGCAATGGCGTCACCACCCCTGGAGCTACCAGTGTGCGAAACATGTGCGCGGACAATTTGTGGCGCCCATCGCTGTTGGCGACTCGTTCATCCGATCGTCAGCTGGCGCGGCGCGAAAGGTGACAACGTTGGAGCGTTGTGTGTCCCGCCTTCGTCTTCCTGCAGACGACGACGATCCGTTGGCGCTACGCGAGGTTCTCGAGCCTGTAATTTGTGTACGAGGAGCTGCCCTCGACCACCCAACGTCCGCTGGGACAGTGTGTGACGAGGGTCCAGTCGTCCGTCTGTTGTGCTTGTTGAACAAGGTGCCGTCGGGGCATCGTGATGGAACACGTGTCGCAGGAGGTTCGTGGCAAGACCTTGAGCAGGGTGGAGAGAAATGCGGTGGTTGCAGCAGTGTCGGCGGTGGCCATGCGATGTCGCATCGAGAGAACGATGGCGCAGTTGAGGACAAGAGTGTCTATCCGCAGGCAGCGTGAGCTCCTCCACCACGTGATGGCGGCGCCAGACTGCGTGTCCATGTCCGAATCCATTACCCAGTTTTGCGCCGCCATGTCATCCGGGGCGATACCGCGGGTGACTCCAAGGTGGTGGATGCGGAGAAGGACGGGTGGCACGTGGGAGGATCTGCGGAAGATGGACGACGCCTCGGACGAGTACCACAAGGAAAAGTTGAGGATGACCCCCAGGGTGTTCATGGAGATCGTGGAGGCGTTGTCTCCTCTTCTGCAGCGGCGGGTGACATTCTACAGGGTTCCTTTGCAACCAGATCACATCATCGCATATGCGTTGTACCGATGGGCGAGCGGTGAGACGTACGAGAGCAGCACGTTGTCATTCGGAATAAGGGAGCGCATCCGGGTTGATCGCAGTGGAGGACGTTACGAGGGCGCTCCTGAGGGTGTACATTGACAAGATTGTATGGCCTACTGGGATGCGTCGTACGCTCGTTCTGCGTGCCTTCGAGGCGAAGGGCTTTCCCAACTGCTATGGCTGCATAGACTGCACGCATGTTTACGTCGACAAACCGACGAACGCTCCTTCGAAGAACTACTTCCACCGGAAGCATCATTTCTCCATTGTAGCGCAGGTGGTGGTGGACCTGGACTTGTGCATCACGGATGTTTTCGTCGGTTACCCAGGGAGCTGCCATGACATTCGGGTGCTTCAGCTCTCCAGTCTGTGGGCGCGTGCGGAGGAGGGGGATCTTTTCCGTGGATCTCCTGTTGTGCTGCCATTCGGAGTGACGACACACGGTTACATTCTGGGCGACAACGGGTATCCGCTGCTCGAGTGGATTGTAGTGCCGTACGGGGGGACCGATCAAATCCCCGACGAGGAGAGGTTCGACAACAAGCAAAAGGTCGCCAGGGGAGCAGTGGAGAGAGCTTTTGGGAGATTGAAAGGGATGTGGAGGTTGTTCCTCCGCACACACAAGACGAATATGGACTGTCTCCCACAACAGTTCCAGGCCGTGTGCATTCTGCACAACATCCTCCTTGACGCTGGCATGGAGTTCGACGACAACTTGCTGTGGGAGGTCTATGCTAATGGCGTGCGGCAGCGAGTGGACTTGGGGTTGGATCATCCACCCCACCCCATTGCTGAGAACTTCAATCGGCCCCGTGCGTTGGCGCTACGCGAGGCGTTGGCGGAGCGGATGAAACACGCGCGAAGGCGCGCACCGCGTCGACGGCACGTGGCTCTGCCGTCCTTGTGGAGGTCGTTCTGTGTTGTTTAGCTGTTGCAGGCGTGTGCCGTGCCCTGGGGTGTTGTGTACGTTCAGTGCGGGTTGTAATTGATCGCTAGTGTCGCGGAGCCGTCGTCGTGGACGTTGTTCATCCGCAGTTCCTTTCCTTTTTTTTTTTTTTGTTAAACAATTTGGAGTAGGTTGTTGGCGCTCGGTGATGCGGTTTGTTGTGAGTGAGTGCGCGCAGCTGCGCGATCTCGTTTTGGAAGAAAACGGTGTTTGTCGGCGGCTAATCGGTCCGGAGGTGACTCGTCTTGTTCTCCTTTTTTCAAATGTGCACTTTGGAGTGGAGTTCCGGCTGCGTATCTGCGTCTATCAGTGCTAAGTGAAGATGCTGTGATTTCGTGTATGTGATTGCAATCGAAATGTTTTTTTTTTCCTCTTTCGCTTTTTTTT